TGTAATATCTACATCCCAAATCAATTCAACTTCACACTCATAGATTTAGAAAATATTATCAAACAATTACCACGTCCCTTTATTATTGTCGGGGACTTTAACAGCCACAGTATTACATGGGGTTCATATAAAACCGATTCAAGAGGAAAAATAATAGAAAAATTATTGGAACAAGATAACATCGTAATACTTAATAACAACGAGCAAACTAGAATAAATCCCTCGAACAGAAACCTTTCAGCTATCGATTTAACGTTCTCTACACCTACCATAGCACAAAGATTACACTGGCAAGTATTAAATGAAATATACAATAGTGACCATCTCCCAATCTCTATACAATTCATTTCCAATGCACTTCAAACAAACTACTCTACAACAAAATGGAACCTCAAAAACCCTGACTGGCCTCTATTCGCAAACCTTCTGGAAACAAAAATCAACGCGTCAGAATTCACGGATGAAGATATAGATATCGAAAAAACAGTATCCAAATTCACTGAAATCATCATAGAGACTGCAGAACAAACAATAGGCTACTTGAAACCCCCCTCCAAAAAAACACCGGTTCCGTGGTGGAACAATGAAATTAAACAATATATATCACAAAAAAATAAAGCACTGAAAACATTTATAAAAACCAGATCACTCGAGGACCATATAAAACTAAAAGAACTCAGAGCAAAAACAAGATTCTTGGTCAAAAGTAATAAAACTCTAACATGGCGAAACTTCACCTCCGAAATAGGTGCCCAGGTTGATCCCCACATTATGTGGAACAAAATCCGTTCATTACAGGGACGGAAAAAGCACAGTAATATCTATCTCTCCACAAACTCATCTCTAAACACCGATCCATCTTCAATTGCCCACCACCTTGGAAAATATTTCGAAAAAAAACTCCAGCAATGAAATGTACAGCCACGACTTCTTAAGGGAAAACGAAAACATACCATCACCTCAACCCTCCGTAATATCGCCCCAAAATACTAATCAGTCTTACTTAAACAGCCCTATAACAATTAATGAAGTTTTGAAAACTCTCAAAAAATGTACCAGCAAAAGTACCGGACCAGACAATATCCCTTATAGCTTTATTCAAAACTTTACAATCGACACACTTAAAATACTCCTAAAAATATACAATACCATCTGGAACAACAACGTATTTCCACAAAATTGGAGAAACAGTATCATCATACCGATAAGCAAACCAGGAAAAAACAAATTCTCAACTGATGGCTACCGACCCATTTCACTTTTAAATACCTTGTGTAAACTCCTAGAGAAAATTGTAAACCAACGTTTAATATGGTTTTTAGAACAGTCTTATTATCTCACCCCCGAACAATGCGGGTTCCGGAAAAATAAAGGTACATATAACTGCCTTTCCAAAATTCACGCAGAAATACAAAACACATACTCCGAAAATCAATACTTAGGTATGATCAGTCTCGATTTGATGAAAGCCTACGATACAACATGGAAACCGCACATTTTAAACAGTCTCACTAAAGTACTAAGCCAAAACCAAATGTTCAATTTTATTAGTAACTTTCTTAAAACAAGAACATTTCAAGTAAGAATCAACCAAACTCTATCCAAGACTTTCTCACAGGCTAACGGAGTCCCTCAAGGATCTTCAATTTCGGTTACGCTCTTCCTCATAGCCATCAACAATATCACACAGAACATTTCTCCACCTGTCCATTCTACACTCTTCGCGGATGACTTTAATATTTACTGCCGAAGCAAGAGCTTAGCAACCGTCCAAACCCACCTACAACAAGCCATCAACAATCTGCTTAAATGGACCCATACATCTGGCTTCACTTTCTCTCCTGAAAAATCACAATGCACTGTGTTTACACGTAGGCGCAATCAAAACGCTATAAACATAAAAATGGGTGAATACCAACTAATAAATAATAATACAATTAAAATCCTCGGCATCATATTCGACAGAAAATGTTCCTGGACCCACCACATCAACTCCTTGAAAAACTCAATTTCTCCACGTCTCAATGTTATAAAAATGTTATCCCACACATCATGGGGTTCTAAAACTCATGTTCTATTAACAATATACAAGTCACTTATACTTTCTAAATTCGATTACGGATCCTTCATTTGGACAACGGCACATAAATCAATATCAAAGAAACTAGATACAATCCACAACTCAGGTCTCCGTATGTCAATTGGCGCTTATCGTTCAAGTCCAATTCCTAGTATCTATAATCTTGCCTGCACACAACCTCTAGACATAAGAAGACTCAAAATTACATTGAATCACGAATTAAAATTAGCAAGTACCCTTCCTACTCTCGACTTCAAACCAATATTTCAAATGTTACCATCATTACTCCAGGAGAACAACCTTGATACTTCCAAAATACTCACTATTACTCCCTCTCTCACCCCCCAATGGAAAAATCTCATTGAAACCAACACTGAACTTTCTATATTCAAAAAAGACGACACACCCCCCTCCATCTACAAAAAAGAATATTTCCACATAATTCAAAACATCACAAGTGAAAAAATGTATACAGATGCATCCAAAAGCCAAGACGGGGTTGGCGCTGCAGTAATCTGGAATAATTCGGAACTCATGTATAAACTTCCAAGCACTTGCTCAGTTTTCACAGCAGAGTCAATCGCCATATTAAAAGCACTCGACATAATAACCGATCATCACCTACAAGACACCATTATCTTCACTGACTCCCTCAGCGCTATCAACAATATTAAAAACACATATAACCCATCAGACATCGGCCTACATATTCAGAATAAAATCCACACTTTACAATACCATAATAATTTCAAAATCAAACTCTTCTGGATCCCCGGACATTCGAGCATAAAAGAAAACGAACTAGCTGATCTCGCCGCCAAATCTGCAATCTCCTCTCCACTATCAACGTCCTCACAAATAATCTCTTCCAGCGACATACGATCACTTATAACAAAGAAATGTCAACAAACATGGCATCAGAGGTGGACTTCTTATTACACAAAATTAAATCGTATAAAACACAACACCGTCAATTGGACATTTCCTATCGAAATCCACAGAAAATTCGAAGTCATAATAACCAGACTCAGAATTGGACATACGAAAATCTCTCACAGTTTCCTAATGGCCAAGGAAGAACCACCCATGTGCCCATCCTGTGGTGTCCAAGTCACCATCAGTCACATCCTCACCGAATGCCAAACATACCACAATACCCGAACCAGCCACAACCTGCCCGAATCACTCTCCGAAATATTAAGCAACCACCCTCAATCCATAGTCAACATCATCAAATTCATCACAGCCGCCATTCTTCAAACCAAAATTTAGTTTAATTTAGATTTAGTAAATAATATTTATGTATCTATAATCTCCTCTCTGTAAGCCCAATGGCCCATGTTGCCGAGGGTATAAATATAAATAAAAAAAAAAAAAAAAGTTCAAAGACTTAGCTACCTTTAAAATTACATCACAATTTTTAGAGCTGTTTTTTATACGTAGGGTTTTTTTTTACACGGAGTATGGTGGAGTGTTTTTGTTAGGATATCTATAACAGTAAAAACAATGTCTATGAATGATTATTATAATATTACGCAATCACACACAATACAAATAATGGACAGCAAGACCAGTATTATTTAATACTTTTTATTTAAATTACTTACGTTCGTTATTAGCAGTTTGTACGTTTAATTAGACAGGTATTCAATTTCAACTCACGGTATCTTATTTTGTTTCCTGATTTTTAACCTTCCGCATCCTTTTTATTTTAGATCCAAAGCGGATCCACGCAACGATGCGTGTTTTTTCTTCGGGTTTATTACATTTTATATGGTAGTAAAAAGCTCAACGATTTCCGTTCAGCCCCTCTATAAATTGGAAATTGAACACGTACGGTACTTTAAATACATAGTTTTTCGATAGAATGTAGTGGGAAACTATACGGCCGAGTAAATGCTCTGAAAAAATTGTTAATAAACATATTAAGCATTTTCGAGTAAACTGATATCCACTCAAAATCATATTATTGCTTTAAGTTTTTTTTTTCATGCTGACTTGTCGGTTACCGTAATCTGCAATGCGTACTACTAAACGGCGAACTATAGCAAATAATATCAAATCAAAACTTTAAGCAGTGTAGGTACCTACAATATAATATGAAACTCAAAATAATAATAATAATAGTTTTGAATGAGGATATGAATAAAATAACAATATTCAATAAGTATAATAAATATAATGATGATATATTTTATTTTATTAATAGATGATTCATGTCTTGATGATTTAACAAAATCGAGATAATATAATATTATTATTGTATATTATAACTGGTACAAAAATGTATAATATAATATGTTACAGCACAATTTTTACTTTATTTTACACTAAAATAAAGTAAAGTATGATATAATTAAAAGTTTACACAATACACAATTTCCAAGGACTAAATTAATTGTAAAATAAAAATCACTTATTATTTATAATATAAATGTAAATTATTAATTATTATAATTTAATATTATAATTTAGTAATAGTAAACAAAACCATTATGCACAGTTCACTAAACATGGCAATAGCTACTACTGATTACTTGCCATTATTAATTGTTGTGATTATTATTATTGTTTAAAAATATACTTCATGACGTCTTTCTTAAAAGTACAATACAACATAATATTATGTCATTTACTAATGATGTTCAAAGTTATTAAAATATATATATTACTTTTTGTTTATTAAAATCGATGTAAAACTCTAGTTTGTCGAAAAAAAACTAGATCATCTCTTAAAATCCCAGTAAATGCATGTACAAAAATAATTACGTAGATAAATGTTATAAAATATTCAAACTATTATAGTATATACCTATTCTAAAACATAATTAACAGAAATCGAATATGCAATTTATCGAGTACAAGCGACTTGCGTAATAATAATATAATAATATTATAACAAAAGGAACAATACAAAAGTTTATGATGCAGGATATGGCAATATGTACTCTACAGTGACACGCTGTTCGTCGGGCCGCAGGTAATCATCGACGTCCAAAAGTTCTTCCGATGGCATTTTTCTCAAGCTCAGATGATCAACGATCACCGGCAAGGTGGGTGGCCTGGGCAACGGACTATCCAATTCTGGTCGTTTGGTGACATTTTTCAAACGTTCGTATATGTCAATAAACCGCAAACGCTCCTTGGGGTCACTTTTCCAACATCCGTTCATCAACACGCATATAACAGGAGGGCAGTTCATCGGTATGTCCAATAACACGCCATCGTGAATCAACTTTAAAACCTGAAAAATCACAAAATTACTCAATGCTTTTTAGAGACGTTTTGAAAGTTGTTTATAAACTTTAGTATTTATACGAAAGGGAAACTTCTAACTTCGAACATTCGTGATAAGGTATACCTTATCAATAATATAATATGATGTTGTTAAATTATAACTATACGTGTATGTAATAATAAACATCACGGTTTTAAGCATGCACACCCTATTTTTATGTTTAAATAATACATATTTTCAAATTTGGTTTTTGGAATTTTTCACAACATTGGTTTTGCGAAGAAGAACCTACATGTTTTAATGCAAATGGTAAATCCAGTGGTTTTCCTGAAAATTTAATTGAAATTTAATAATAATCTACTTTAAATACAGAGAACCTTCCTTAAAAGGATGTTAATTACTTTTATTTTGAAAATTATTTTGCTCAATATTATTCAATAAGCATTTTATAATATTATTCAAAATTGTCTGAGTATACTTGAATAAGTAGTAATTATTAACAAACATTTTTTATTGCATACTCATATACAATTACTGAGATCGTATTAATTTGCAAAGTATTTACTATAACTACTATTATCCATATTATTTACAGTAGAAAATCATAATTTGAATACATTTATTATTAAAGAAAAAATGGCGGCAAGTATATGCTTAATTAATCACTCTGTATAGGTGAAATCAAATTTGTAGTGCTGATATTATGGCTATGTGTGATCGCTTTAATGTATGACTTTTACACACAATAATACAAATACACAATACAATATATTTTATTTCTTTAGAATATCATATGGAATGCTATGCAACTAACTCTACTTAAATATCAGTTTTAATACATCCCGTGTTGTTCATGCGTCTTGAGTGACGTATAATCTTAAACTTATAATAGCAAAAGAGTAATTGTTTTATAATTGCATACCATGCATTTGAAATTGCATTTAAGGTCTATGGTTAAATCCCGTACCTTTACAGAGAATTAAGCTCTGACGTCGAAACATGTAAAAATGTAACCTAATCCTAGTGCAATGCATGTAGGTTATTTCATTTTGAATTTAACTAACATATTATACCTATGTAACAATATAATATAACAATTACAATTGAAACTCGAAGGAGGTAGGTTTCATAAAATACTGACAAGGCGTAGTAGATTTTTGATTAATTTGCTACTTATAGTTACAGATATAATATTATGTTTTTCATCGTTATACGTAATAATAATATATTGAAGCACATAGTTGTAGTTATTGCATTTCTAATTAAATATATGTATTCTTCTATACTATAGATCATGATGATTTATAGTTTGAATTGTTTTTTTTTAATTTTCCTTTGTCATTTTCATCAAGAATAATAAATTGAATACATTTATTATTATTAATATTTTTTTTCTATGATATGCAGAATGTACATTGCACGTACAATATAATATATTTAAATTATATTATAAGCATATTATTGTGACTGTTGAGCCATTATGGTTACGTAATGTTCGATTTGCCTAACTAACGCCGTGTGTCCATATCGCACACCTAAAGCTCGAAAATGTTTTAAAAGGTTCAACTTTTTATACTGTATAACATCTCTAACTATATTTCGATTACTTTGAGTATGTCAACTATGCACCTTCCATATAACCGAAACTAAACAATTGTACAATATTACTTATAATTACAATAATTATAATATGTAAATAAATTTATAATCCTAATCGTAAATCGCTCACCTCATCATTCGAATAACCGTAATACGGTTGTTTTCCCAGTGAATAAATTTCCCACAACACGACACCGAATGACCACACGTCAGATTCGAGAGTAAATTTCCCATATACTACGCTCTCTGGTGACATCCACCTTACGGGAAGCAATCGGGATCCTCCGACCTGAAAAAGAAGAAGTCAAATTTAATGTCGTGTTCGTCGCATGGTTAGGGCACCTCGTACTTTGTAATAGTCACAGGTGTAAATGTCTCGGCTCATTCCAAAATCAGCGATTTTCACGGTCAAGTTGTTGCCGACTAGACAATTCCTACAAGCCAAGTCTCTGTGGACGAACCGCTGACTCGCCAAATACTTCATGCCCGACGATATTTGTAATGATATCACCAACAACGCTTCCTAAAATCATACGGTTTCGATTTGTTAAATATAAATAAGTACACTATTATAAAGGAATTAAATATTTGATTCTAACTCAGCTTTCAGTACCTACAGCAGTACTCTTATATATAAAACTATTATGATTTGTGATCAACAAACCATCAAGACCATCTTACGAGTTAAGATGCACCTATAGTGTTATGCCTAATTTGTATAAACAATATTCTATACCCTAAGAACTATATTATTTTAAATAGATTTTATAAACCTACATCTATTAATATTTCAATATGTATGTCTTAACAGAGAAACGCATTTATATCATCTGCACAGTGTATATACCTACCACGTCATTTAAAACATTTGGATACTGCTTGTGAGTTATAGGTACCTAAGTGCAAAAATATTTTATTTTTTTTTTTATCTTTTTGGGTATTTAGGTATATATTATAATAAATATATTTATGTCGTATGCACATACTAATTTCAATAATAGCACAGGTATATTAAAAATGATTAATTTTATACTTTCAAACATAATTTACAAATTTGTTAGCACTTACTATATCCAAACTCGGCAAATGTGCAGAATAATTTGTAAACTGATCACTGCTGTTTCTCAGAACTTCGGTTAAATCTCCATATGCCATGAACTCGAATATCATCCACGGTGAACAATTATCATCTAACCGAGCAAAATGTATACATAAACACACATTAATTACATTCATAAACATTATTTATTTAGGTATGTAAATTTATTACAGAAAACTATGACGTATTTAATATACATTTATCAATATTTAACATATTATTGTTATGTATTTTTAATTCAACATAGCGGTTATGATCTAAACGGAAGTAAATTCTAATACGGTTTATCAGAAGTACAATAAAATATTGATTCAATATTGTCTTTTATTGGTAAATATTTACAATGAAAATATTGATACAGTTTACAAAATATCATCTATTAGGTTACCTGCTTGATTGATTTATTTTAGTCATGATTTATTTTACACTCACGAATAGGTTTGTCTGACTCAAACGATTAAAGATTGAATGGTTGGTTATCTCAGAAAACAATAGATGCAATAATAATTAAGTAAATTAAATGGACATGGGAAAATAAATACTAAGTCAAATATATTTTAGCTAAAACAAATGCACTAGATCGTGCAAATATTATAATGAAATTTGATGATTTAAACATTATTTTAAATAAAAATAAAGTAGAAATATATTAGGAAAACATATTTACGACGTCGATAATCATTTGAATATAATTACTATCCAACATATTTCTGTAAGCATTTAAAGTATATATTTTATTAGTTTAGAATAAAATTTATATGAATATTATAGTCAAACAAAATATTGAGCTTATAATTAATTACCTATCTACTGTTCTGAACTTAATACATTAATTATTATAAAATTATTTATTTTTATTTTTGAGTTATCTATTAAAAAAATGTACTTGACAAAATTATTTCATTGAGAATTTATCGTTTTTACCAATGCATGTGTTATGTTTCTTCAGTACCTACCTACCTACATACTATTAGTTTTACGGATATGTACGTTCGATGGGTGTATGGAAAGTTCGTAAACATTGGACGAATAACTCTTTATAGTTCTATTGTTTTTAAATCAAAGAAAATAATTGATTTTACCACCGTTAATTATTATTTAATATCTTCCATTAAATGTAATATACAAATATCCAATTTTATCATTAGTATTATTTAAGTAGTTATATCCTTTTTAAAATAGTTTAATAAAGGAACATTTAGTTGAACTTTACACCTTAAACTTTTGACAAACGCGATAACAAGTTTTGATTAATACCCAAAATGGTGGTTAAAGTTCGAGTGCTCATATAATATATAGCTACCTATATATTACAGGTGGTGTTAATGTATATATATATTCGAAGTAAATTGTTTCACTCTGAACTCTTATTTCCCTTGCACGCTTAAACTTTTAACAACCTTAAAGGCCAAAGCTTATAATATATTATGAGTAATTTTTAATTGAACTCAGGTCTTTCAATACTCAACATCAGCCACACTCAACCTATACGGTCCAAAATAGCACAACATAAAAAGCCATACTATTTTAAAAGTCATTTAATAATCCATAGGCTGTATAATATAATAATTAGATAATTATTTTTAATTGTTTTATATGTATACTTTGTGAATCGATTCCCTCGTCGACCTATAGCGTCCTTAACAACTCAAGTACATCACAACATGAACATGTTTAGTGGGGCACATTATCTTCTTGAAGAATAAATAACATTTTGAAAAATAAAATAAAATATGACTGCTATTATACTGATAATTATCACACTACTCTGGCATTTAAGTTAACGGCGTGCAGAAATCTAGATTAATTAAATGATAATAAATTTGAATTAACAAAAAATATTCATGATAATAAATTATTTAAAAATGTTGGTAAATTGTAACGGTCGGTACGAAAAAATAAGTTTGACGCTACTACAGCACTGTATTACGCTTGTTCAGCAGTGTTGGTAGGTACCTACTCATTCCAATTCGAATTCCCAAGATGATGGCAAAGGGTGGCATTTGCGGAGAGTGGCGTCGTTTTTAAGGTGTTAGTTTTTTTAGTACATATTATACTCCTCAATAATATTATTAACTATAGAATTCCTAAAAAACTATTAAATGAGAACACTTAAACAGTGTGATGATTAGGTGGGTTAGGTATTCCCATTTTTGCGATAAATCAGTGACTAGTGAGTAAGTACCTAATAAAAAGTGAGTAACCATTCAATTTTCCCCTGGGTGGAAAAATGTTACGGCAACAAGGCTTTGATCCCAACATTACATGATGTATACGCGATATTAATTAAAACGCATCGACATCAATCACGGACAAAAACGGAATGGTATATTATATAATTAAATATGCATGTTGGGTATGAACATAAGCGACCTGCCCATATATCGAAAACGCACGTGGGAATATTGTACTGTTAAAATTATTATTGAAATAATTAAATTATTATTATTATTGTAATATTTAATTACTTGTATGTATTGTGTGTAATGTGTATTATGTATTATATTATTTTATTATTGTTATTATTATTAAAAGCGTATTGTGTAATATTACCTTGGGGGCAAACTCCGATCAATGTCAAGATATTCGGATGTCTGAAATACGTCATTATCTCTACTTCCCTCATAAAGTCTTCTTTAGCCTCCAAGTTAGTGTGATCCTTTAAAACTTTTATGGCCACTGTTTCATATTTGCCTTCGGTCTGTTGAAGGATACCTGCATGGACAATAATTACATATTTACTTATTTTAACATTTTTTACATATTTTTCAATGTTATCCTCAACGACATGTTCGTAAATATGATAAATTAATATGTAAGGATGTAAGTGTGTATGGTTTAGTTTTCAATATTTGACGAATTTCTGATAATTCGTTTCGGTCGTTTATAAGAATGTAATGCTGGGTTACATAACCAACCACTAAACATTTAATGAATCAATAGTGAATAGTTCGTAGAGAGCTAATATTGCTTTAAACAAGCTTTAGTGGCCCACAATTAATCAATTTTTTATGCACCCCAGACTGTTAACTGTTCTAAAATTATATTTTTATCTTTTTCTACGTTTTTTATTGATTTTTCTAAATCTCTATACCAAATGGGAGAAAAATCACAGATTTTATTTCATGTACGGCATCGCATACGTCGTGTTGTCTGAATGGCTCTTACATAATAATGCGTACATGTGCATAAAATCCGATTACATAGAAGCAATACAATAATTCTATGAAAAGTATCAAAAATTGTGAATAACTATATAATATATTATACATAGACGGGTCATATTATAGTGTGTACTATGCATGCTGATAGCTATCGGAAGAGAGACATCAACAATTTAAATGCGTTTTATAAATACATAATTAGTTCATATAATTTCATGTTCCGGATAAACATGAATTTTTATAAATGCATTTCTTAATTTTAATTTTTAATTTTTTTAAGTTTATGAATTTAGTTTAGTCCTTGTTGTTTTCAGAGGATCGATGCATTCGAGGTCAGTGTTGAGACTTATCTCAATTAATTATATCTTTTATTTCATCTTGCTATCTTGCAAAATCTTTACTATTCCATAGTAAAATTATACCTTAGATAAAAAAATATTCATATCTATATCAGTTTCAACATTTGAACAAATTGCACATCCTACTCATTTTTCTTTGGATATTTTTGATATTCTTCGGTTATAAATTTAAATAAAAAATGGATTTATGTATTTTAGATATAATATAGAAAAAATCGATATTTGCTTATCATTGTCTACATTTAAATATTACATCTATACAGGATTGTTTTTAGATTTATAAGATTTGTGTTATCTGTACTCAACATCACTGTCCGCCATGTCCGGGATCCTGAAAATAATTTAGAAAAACGCAGCCGTGTCACATTACCTTTGTAAACTTTTCCGAAAAATCCTTGCCCGATTTCCTCCATTGACGATATACAACTTTTACTCAGATAAGGTATCAAAATAGTGTCTTTGGCGACGGGCGACGGTGCAGCGTATTGTGGGTTCATCGTGAAACTGTCTTCCTGGATCACTCCTCTTATCAGTGACACCACAGGTGACTAAACAGACATGTGACGTCATGGATATTACATCATAAATTATTTATAGTATTTTAAGGATATATGCTGAGTGTGCGTATAGATATATTATATAATATTATACACACATATTATTAGTTCAATGTCTTTACAGAAGCGCAACCAGAAATTTCCAGAGGAAGTTCGAGATAATATTATAATATAACTATTATTAGAATTTATCAAATTAAATTTACCACTTGATATGAATACTCAAAGACGGCTCAAGTATTCACCTGGTTGAGATACTGAAACACGTACATTATTGTGTGTTACAATCATGGTTGAAATATCATCCATGGTTATTGCATATTACATACCGCTTATCCACTGATTAATATTTGATGATAAAAACAAAAATTTTAGAGTATAAAGGAAGCCAATAATTATCAAATAATATATTTTTTTTATTATTATTATTATTATTAATTAACCCATGGTAACTGTTAGACCATTGGGTGGTTTTTGCTGTGAGGGAGGGTACTGTAAGTTTAGACATCACGTGTGTTTTGGTTTGGCAGATTTTTTAGTAAAAATGCCTGGGTGGGGGATGGCGGCACTTCTCTCAGGACACCGTGACTTGCCCGAAGAAAAATGCCACCATCGGCCGTCATCGAACCGGCGCCGGTGTGCGTCACAACCGACGCCTTAATAACAGGAAATATAATATTATGTAGGTAGTTCATAAAATTGATATCTACGTGATATCCCGTTATGCAGCCATTTATTGTATCTGATGATAACAATCCTAACCTAGGTATATGCAATAACCTGTATAGGTATATTGCAACCATGGTTATATCATAATATAGTTATACCCACAACGCGCCTATACCGCTAACACGGCCGATGCTTACAATGTTTTTGGCTGCCTTTGACTTGCAACAGCCTTTGGACGAACGACTCCACCATATGGTTAGTATCAATAAAACCGACACGAATGCTGTTATTCCCACCGCCAATAGCATGAACACGTTTATGCGCAAAATATAACCCAATATGTTGACGTCCATGTTCTGTTTCACCTGCAGAAAAACCAAGTCCATGAATAAGAATAATATTTTTATGGAAGAAAAAATCTAAATTAATAGAATCTTTTTAGTTTTTTTTTTTCACAATAGGGTAATCCTTGAAAACCTACGACTCGTTCTTTTAATTAGGTAGGTACTGTATAATGGATGGTATTACATTTGAATTCAACGATGTAATATCTTTGTATAAGAAAAACGATTCTGAGCGGAGACGGTATGTCAGCCGAGGTATAAGACATAGTATATACTTATCTATGGTAGGTAGGTATTAAAAAATTGACCTATAATAGGTACCTATAATAAATTCCAAATTAATCATATCACAATATCCATTAGGTACTTATAACGCGTTATACATCAATAACAAACCGTGATACTACCATAGATAATATATGGTAGTATACTTTAGAAGTTTCAAGTACCCACGAATAATATTATACAATCACAACAAAATAACTAAAATAGTTATTCTAGGTTATTTTTTATGTAATTTCGTCCAAATTTGAACTTCGAATGACTATAAAAATAAACTGTGCTTAAGTATATTTTAGATTTTTTGGTACCTAACAGAATAAACTACTTACGTTTAATCTTGTCTTAAATTTTAAATATTTAGATATAAAAGTTGAACATTTTATACATTTATAACTACAAAATAATTATTCAATTTTAAATTTGATAAATTTGGTTAAAATTCGATCTTTAAATGCTTATAAAAAAAAATTGTGCCAATGTATTTTTTAATATTTTTCAACTGATATTATAACAATATATCAGGAGCCTTGTATTAATTTTTTACACTATTTGGCACAACTGATAAAACTTTATTGATATTTATAAAAAAAAAAAACCAAAAAAATTAAAAACTTAAAATGTCAGTAAACAGCTCAAAAAGAGTCAAAATATGTATGGTGAAAATTACTTTGAATTTTAAATTTTGACCTCCCCAATGCACCAACAATATTCACTTACCCATCGAACAAGATACTGAAGTTGAAAATCGAAGCATTATTTTGACTACTATTATTGTACACAGACACAAAAATAAATAAATTTAAAAAAAACACACATCGTTCCAGTCAGAATCTAAAAACATATAAGCTTTGGAAAAATTCAAAAATGCATTACCCATAGGTACTATACGTATGATGGTTTCAATAATATTTACAAAGAGAATTTTGACGTATACATACAAATATAAATATTATTACATTGTCAATTGTAGATTTTTCCTTGATGTATTTTTCACCGAAGCTTTTTTTTCCACAATTTACCATATATTATCAATTAAGGTATTTTTTAATGTGAGTTGTGCTTTTACTTAGTAATATATTATTTGAACTTTTTGCCTTTTTTTGTTTCAAATTGGAATATTTTAAACTACACTATGAGTACCTACGTGATATAAACAATTCTGTCAAAAACATTAATACTCTAAAATAGATATTATTACAATCAACGGTCTGTAAAATGACATTGCAATCAAGCTTTATTCACAGAATTATTTCAAGTAAAACATCGATTGGTTTTTTTCTGCGTACACCGAGATGGTATTTAAATTAATAATTTCTCATAAATCAAACACAAATTATTAGTTCAAGATTATAAAATACCATTTTTTTTTATATATTTATATTATTAAGACACACGCAATAATGTGTATGCTGACAGTATAATTATTATAATGTGGAGTATGACGTCAAGTCTGAACCCGAGATATATTTTTTTTATTAAACGTTTCTTAAAACTATATTATAATAAACAAATATAGCAAAATTATTTTCAAAGTAGAAAGTTAGATTATATAAAGGAAATCGAATTATATACTGCAAGGAGGTTCATTTTGCAAAAAAGTGTTCACTACATAGGTACTGTTATGACTTGAAATCATGTAAAATTTAAATGTTCACAAACGTTAATAGGTACATATACAATAAACGTATATAGGTATTAAGTATTAACCATTTGGTAACCAATAATATTATTTTATATCACTTCAACTATTTTTCCGTTTCTTTGGGGGTGAAATTATTGTATTGTATTTGAATATTTTTTTAAATATTTTTTTATATACATTTTCTAATATGGAAATGAGTAACCAACTATATGGCTTTATAAGCAATCAGCTATCATATTTTTCCCCATCAAAATCTTTTGTCCAACTAGATTTTTATTTTTATCTGATTTTTCCAATTATTTCTCTTCATTTCCGGCTATCCAGATTTGTTTGATATTGTTCTTTTTATTCTGCTTGATAATAACACATGTATATTATATAGATACAACAACTTGCTCAAATATTCATATCCAAAAACATGTTTCTGTGAAATTTGAGATGTATATAAATATTATGTAAAAGATAAATAGAGCGTGTACAACTGTACTGTAAAAAGTGACAAATAAAATATGCATCTAAAATGCCTAAATATTAGGTATATGTTTTTTTTTATAACATATTAAGCATTCAAAAATTAATATTTTTTTTAAGTGTTTATATTATAGGAAATGTAAATACAATCATTCAGAGAAAATTATTATTTTTAAAGTTGCACTAAAAAATAAAATCGATTTTTTTCAAAAACTGCAGGTTTTGGGTACAAATTTCATTTTTTCCTTAATTTTTTGTTTGTTTACCTTAACGCTTTTGAAAACTACTGGACATTTTTTACTCTTTACCCCCCCCCTCCAAAGTACCAACTAGATTAAATTTCTTTCTAGAAAAGATGCTGAAGTAGACAACTAAATCATTTTTACAACTCCTTAACGTGATGACTGACACAAAAAAAAAAATCACACATCATCATCAAGTTATTACATTTATCTCTCTGCTCAAAATCTAAAGGTTTTCATCAATATAGTTAAGCAATTTGGCGATAATTATACTTTTACCTAATCCATGATTTTCATTTCAACAGTGTTGTTTGTTACTCTTATAATATATTTTATAGTTACCTATGATATATATTAACAGTCGTAAGACATAATAGTTTATACTCACTGGGGGAAATGAAGTCGTTTGGTTTAATGTGGTCTTAATTGGATGACTGGTGGTCGTGAACGGATGTACCACTGTTTCTAAGGATTTCTGTCCGTTTTTGTTGATGCTCAAGTTCACAAATGGTCTCGGGGCCACTGGCACTATATATGCGACAAATTACAGTAAAAATCGACATAAAATAATATAAATTAAAAAAATATATTACCGGTCTTTCTAGTGAGACATTTCAAGTCATCAGTGGGGTCACTCATGTCTTGTGGACATATACACGTATACGAACCCTTTTCCAATGGCCGACATGCCGCTTCAAACCCACAGGGTCTGCTATCGCAATTTCCAAATCGGTGGTTTCTTCCCTCTGAAATTCAAAATATTCACGTTTTGTACATCATTGTGTAATAATATATCTGACAAGTTGACTAAATGACTTGTTATGTTGAAATTGTTATGATTTTATTATATAGTATGAAATAAACAAGCTGAACTCAATTGTACAGTCAAGATTTTAATTTTTTTTAAATGTATTAAATAGCTGTATCTCTGTATTTTTTTTAAGTAGGATAGTATAATATGGGATGAAGCAGTGTCATATCTAGGCAGTACCTACTACCTTCATTATATAAGTACCTAACTTTTCAAATTCAGTTAAAAGTCATGATTAAGATTATTTAAGACTTAAAAACCACAAAAATAGTAACCATTATATATTATTATTTATTAACAACTTATATTATTTTAATTAAAATCGACCCAACGGTTTTTGATCTAATTTAAATTTGTAACTCGTTAACGCCTAGTCTTGGCCCTTGGGTACAATATTGAATGTACATTATATTATATATATATTATATGTATGTATTATGCTAGGTGTGCGTAATCGTGAGAAAGCGCAAAGACGCGCAACCGACCATATGTTTTAAGCCATACCTAAAAGACATCAAAGGAACGCGACCGTGCACAGAGGACGCCGACGTATTAAAATAACGGATTTACATTTTCTACAGAGACCCAAACGTTGAGTAGACAGACAAGAGTCGGATTACCGACTGTAATTTCAAAGTGGTCATAAAACAGTTGTTTACTTGTAATCGCGTAACGTGCACGTGATGGTTAACGCATAATAATAATAATATAATCATCCAGGGTGCGTTTAATTATCGTCGTTAATTATTATTGATACTTTTCTAAACGCGTTTACCTATCCCGTGTATAATTATTATTAATATTAAAGTGGGTAGCACAACGCCGATCAGTGAGATTTCAAATCATTTTACAAAAGCTGTTTTATCGTTATTCGTTCGCACGCACAAAGCAGAACGATCAATTATATTATACTATTATGGCTTGTAATCGAGTGAACGACTGAAACGTCTAACGACGAGGACCAATTGATTTATGTGTTGTTTTTTTTTTTCACGAGGCCTTTATTATACTTACACAACAATGTGTAATCTAAAAGGTTTTGATTGATATCAGTTGACAAAAGATTGTATAATATTTAGTTGTGATACATTTTTTACTAAAACTATTATTAAAAGCAACAACGCATTCAGAAAAATATTTGTAAAAATGGAACATTGGGCAAGAACTATAATATAATATGCTGACCATTTTGTCGAGCCCAACATGTCACCTACACTACAATTATTGGTGCCGTTTTTCAAACGTTGGACACAAGTCATTATAAAACGCTGATTGAGGACTAGAATTTTTTTTACAGTTTCGTTAAAAGCACGTACAGTATATATAAGACGTACTATCATTATTTTTATGCCACACATATTTTTCCTTCACAAATAATAATAATATTATATCGTTGCTATAATACACAATATTATAGTACAAATATTATTATTGGAACGAGTAAATTTTTATTTCAAATTTAACGACGGCGATATCTTATTTTGTAAATCAATTTAATGAAATATATACAATGAACATTTTATTCCCGTAATTGTATTTGGACGCACCCATAAAAGCTCAGCATATTTTTATGAACTTCTATTAAATTTATATTACATTTTATGCGAACTCCAAGCAACGAAAACACTATAAATATTAAATATACAAACTGGTAAACATTGATTCGATACAAATACTGATACAACGCATAAAAATAGAATAACCTTTGGACATAGAAGTACCAAAACAGTAAATATTTCAGTGTTTTTTAATAGGCGCCTGTTATAATGAAAAATACGCTTGGAATCAATATTACGTATGTAGCGACAGCAGAATTCATTTTAATAGGTACAAAAATGAACCTGCAATGTGTTATAACTTTATAAGTTATAACCTACCTAACCTATATATAGTCACCCGTGAAGGGTCGCCTTTAATATTTTTGAGAGAAGGGTGTAATGATGAATGGAAAGTTGAATTGTTGGTGGCTCATTTATTGAATAAAAACAATAATGAACATAATATATTGTAGAAAATGTGCATATTTTTCTTTTTATTTAAAACAATATTTTTATTTTTTGTAAAGCAAAGTTCTTCAATAATCTCGTATATACCGTATTGTTTTTACTTTTCGGAGACATTGTAACAAGGCCATTTAGTATTAACAAATACTATCATCTTGACAAAAATAATGATTATTTAATATGGTATTAAGTAATTGCAATTAAAATGGTCACAAAAAAAAGTTAAGAGATATCATATCCCCCATCCCCCGCGTAAATACACCCCCTGATTATCAGCAGTGTGGACAGTGTGGTAACTAGTCTTATACAAATACGTCAGGGAAGGATCCATGCATTTGAGAATAGTTAGCTAAGTAAGTAGGTATATCAATATTTTTTTTTTAAATGTAAAGATAATTGATAAGATATTGAATAATATGAAGTGGTACTTACTTTAAAAGTCAAAAATGTATAAATAAAATATTTGTGATTTCATTGTGTATACCTATTTTAAATTATGACCCTTATCCTATTTTCACTCTGCGTCCATGCACTGAGAAATTGTATTTATTAAATCTAAATGGGTTGGAATTGTACGTGCTTAAGTACATAATATAACTGAGCTTGATATTATATTGTATACAGAAACTAGTAAGGGCCTACTATAGTTCCTACCTATCACTTGAAAATTAAAACGTTTAGCCTGAAACACCTAAGTTTTGTTAAGGTTAAACTTAGTTAACATGGTCTAAAATTTTGAATCAACAGTACTAAATAGTGGAAAGTGAGAGAAATTAAATGGGGAAGCATCAATGTATTATAGAGCCCAAGTCCGCTATTCGGACGAATTTTTCGCATTAGTTTCTGTCATACATACATTTTTTTTCAACATTACCATGTATACCTCAGTAGCCGGGTGTTTACGAGGAAAAACACAGGGATACAGGCTCGGACATTACATTAGTACTATAATGTATATTATTACCTTATATAGCTATAATATATAATTAATTTACGGCTTTACTTATATATTAAGCAAAATATTATACTTAATATGTATAGGTATTGGCAGGTGCCGCTACTATAATAAAAATATATTTACTTATATATATTATAATATACTATACATAGCAGTCCCGCTTTTGGTGTGCAGGACAAAAATGCAAATGTGTAGTACGTCAATTTGCAAAAAATTGTAAATAGGGATCTGAACCAAAAGGTGGTGAATCGATTTTTTTGAAAATCCAGCTTTCGATACACACGTAAACACATGGATCATTGCTCTAAATTAATACAAGCTCAATTCAAACCTTGTAGGTATCTTATTTAAAGAGTTATCCAGAACTAAAAGGTGCTAAATCGATAAAATTTAAGCAATTGTTATTTGATACAGAGATCTAAATAACAACTTTTGGTTCTTAACAATAGTTTTTAAATACTTTAAACCAAAATATTCTATCTACATCACTACATGATACAATAAATTAGTGATAACCAAAAAGTACTATCTTATATTCATTGTATCAACTATGGCCTAAGCAATAATAATATGCTGGTACAATATTATAAATTATTGAACATTTATCAACAAAATAAAGATTTCTATTTACAATTTGTAAATTATAAATTAAGTAGGCATGACCGTACACAGAACAAATTTTAGGGAGGGAGGGGGTTATGAAAACCAAAACCATATAACTTTAATAATTAATTGTTTAGATAAATAATTAGTTGTAAGATTACACAGTCTGAAAAAAAATGTTGGTAGGGGAAGGGGTTGAACCCTTAACCCCCTCCCTGGGTACTGTATTGTAAATAGGTATCTATTTAAAATTTAAATGAAAAGCTAATGCTACATTATTTATTATTTTGAGGTTGGTAACATCTTAGTAACAACATACCTTTAATTCAGAAAGAGCAAGTTCTAATTAAGTGAACAAAAATTATATTAACCAAAAGTTTACATCTGAAGAACTTCCTGGTTCTTATCGGAACTTTATTACATTTTTGTTTTTCTAACGTTTAGAAAAAGAAGCAAATTGATATTGTTAACTCAGAACACCTTCGTGAATTTTTAAATCATTAAAAATAGTTTATTACGAAAAAATATAATACAGTTTCAAGTTGTATGCAATTTAAAATGGCTCTCCTGTACATGTCTATTGTATATTATAATTTATATTACAACGTACTCAACTTACAGTTTTCATTAACGAAGGCTGTGCGTTATATAATATATTACCTGTCCCGGCCTTTGTGACGAGTTCGATAACATCAAATATTAATTTGAAACAAACACATTACGCTCACTAAGCCCAAAAATCTATTATACGTCCCATGCATAATACACAGGATGATTCACCAAGCTTGTGCAGCCTCCCCTTTAATCATAAGTTGATATTTAAACATAATCCCCTGAAAAAAACTGTAGGATTTTGTTTTGAAAGAATTTAATTCTGAAAAACATTTTTGGTTCATCAACAATATTTTACTATGATTTGATCGAAGTGGTTTTCAATGAGTACCTATTTGTTTTTCAACTGAAATAATACAATAAACTTAGAAACGGTGCTGTTTGTACTTTAATTATTTTGTATTATATGACATTAAAAGTGTTTGAAATATTAAAATCTATAAATTAGAATTAAGTCTTCATAGGTATCAGACTAATTGTCATTCAAATACTATTGTTTAGTACTTTTAATCACAGGTAAGTACTTACAGATATTTTAGACATAAAACATAAGACATTTTACAGATATTTTTAAATCCTTAGATCTATATACTAATTATAAGTAGTATTCTGTGGTATACAAACTTTTTTTTAAATAAATTAATTGTTGTGTAAATTAACTCTTGTTATGTGTTTTTATTTCATCTAAATTGAAATTCAAACAAATTGTTTTTGAGTCTTTAACATTATTTTAATCCTAAAGATAATAGTCTTTATAGT